AGAAAAATTATGAAGTCCAAGGAGGCCTTGACATTGTTGATGTCCAATGACTTGAACCTGCTCCAGCACATCTATTTCTCGTTTCTTTGTACCCTTGCCTGTAGAAAATTGTAGAGAAGTGGGCACTGCATTGTTTCCACAAGATGCTAGATGAATTAAGAGAAGGAGGACATCAGTGTCAGGGGACCAGACAGTAATTTCTTGCAAGGCACCACTAGCAGTAGAGGCAAGGAGTTGATTAGGAATCAGGGTATCAGCCTCTTCATGTGTGTGCGCCTCTTCAAAATCATGTCCCTTGATGAAGGTATCATACACAACCTCTAGCTTGAAAGGGCTGTCCGTGTTCTGTGAAAAGTTATCATGCAGCCCCTGACCTAACAGGCACGTCGCTTTTTCTTGGTTGACGATGAAGATAGAAGCTCCTTGATGGACATTGTGAGCTTTATTTCTGGGTGTATCTCGTATTCTACTGATGTAGTTGCTCTCTTTTGTCGAGTCTTGTTCTTTAATGACTCTTCCATATATCGATCAAACACAACTCGACCTTCATCATAGCTAGCCATCATCCCTTCAATGTGCCTGTTGAATGCATTCTGCAGGTCTGACATCTTTTGCATGGCAGGTGTCTTTTTCATGCCTTGAAGTACACCCATGACGTCAATTATCAGCACCTTGACAGGAAGATCATGCAAGAGGTTAGGTTGTTGGGCTGCTCCAGAAGGAACCTGCGTTATCTCATGTTCTACGGTAACCGGAACCTTTTCCTGCATCATTTCAACCTGTGGGGAAGTTGAATGATTATCCTCCACGACATCGGGCTGTTTTACAGCATCGGGAGGTTCTGCCTTTGCATCTTCAACTGCATGCATCAGACTTGCTTTGTCTGTTGAGATGTACAAAGAACCATCGACAGCACATAGTGAACGGGGAACCACTGACATTTCATATTCACCTATTGTTTCCGCAAGTTTAGGAACTAAGCTTGGGCGGCTGCCTTGGATGATAAGGAATCTTCCCAGCAATTCACGTTCCTCCCGCAACTTGATGACCTTGTCTCCAACACGTACTTTCCTTTTCTCCATCCAGTTAGAAAAGGATTTCAGCTTCAGTTTCTTCATTTTGTCCCACACCGAGAGGGTTGATGATGAAAGCAAACAATCAGATACAAACTCCTCAAAGCGCTTCTGGCCCTTTTATGCAAATTGGAGAATGTCACTTTTCGCTTCATTTGACACAAGTGCCGATGAAACCAGACTCTTCAATTGTGTCTTCTCCTTGAAAGGATTGACTCCGCAGTGCAGCTCGATTAGGTGGTGTAGTTTCAGAGCATTCTTCTTTGACCTCACTGCAATGTCTCCTGAGAGCTGATGATGCTCCTTCCTCACCGAAGCTCCAGTAGCTTTTGGGAAGTCATTGAGGTAGTGATTTACCAGAGCAGCAAGGTGAGGTGTGGTAGTGACTAGTCGGTCCAGAGCGGCTTCATTTCTTGTGAGTCCAACCATCCCACCATTCCCCTTTAGTTTCTTGATTTCTTGCTCTAGAGCCTGATCAGTGAAGAGAAGGGAAAAGGGTATCTCTGACTTTGCCACCACAAAGTCTCCAGACTTGAGGGCATTCCATGTTTCTGGATCATCCTCTTCTAGGGCATTCATTTGAGCGAGATGGACTGGCATCAGGCGAGCATAGTTCAGGAGATCATGAGCAAAGAAGTACTTGGTGAGGTCTTCTAGTGATGACAAGTAGCCCTCCCAGTCCCCTGATCGACATGAACTAATGAGATGTAGAAGACTCTCCACCTGGTTAAGATACTGAGTCAAGAACTGGGCAAACTCGCCAAGGTCTTCAGCTTCTTCAAGATCTCCACCATCTCTGGGTCACGTCCATGAAGTTTTTCTTTGAGAGAATTGCACTGGATGCGAATTGGACCCTTGGGAAGATCCGATAGTATGGCATCAAAACGCAACATCATGATTGCAATGCTTGCAGTAATGTGGAATTCAAGGCCACGCGTATAAGCTTTACCACCAAAGATCCTGCGAAGAGATGCTGAGGTGTATGCACTACATTCGATAGCACACGTGTCAAGACCGCTACCGTCGATGGTTTTGCCAAGGGCATGTAAGGCAGCGAAAGCAATGTGGAGAGCTCCCGCTCTTAAGATCCAGTTGGCGTTTCCCACCGACTGCTGAATCTTCAACGCTCGGGAGTAAAGATCGAGATCTGGCGTTATCAATGTCTTTCTGTGAGGGCCAACAACAGTCGCAGATATTCCCTGGGATAACCGAAGAACAGTATAGAGGGTCCCATAATCAGTTGGCGATGTCTTGAATAATGGGGCAACCACCGCTGTGTTTGTAGGCGTGCTAGCAGGAGAGGATTGAGACAACAATAAGGACCTAGTTGCAGCCCATGTTGGAAGAACATCATTCTTTGCTAGTTTATCTGATTTCTTCACCTGCTTTTTGATGATCACGACAGAGTCTGTTTCCTCTCTGTCCTTTGAAGACCCAGCTTCCCCCTTGTTGCTAGAAGGCTCAGTTTCCTCATCATTTGTAGACTCTGCATCACTTGGCATCTCTTTACTGCGCTGGGCTTCTTCATCGTGCAGCTGAGGTTTAGTTTGGATGATTTCTCGGTTGTCATCTGCTGTAAGGTAGTTCACAAGAGCCCAGGTATGAGTGAATTCTTGAGAAATGAGATTTTGTTTCCTCTTCTTGTAGGCCTGAAATCTCAGTGGGCTAGTTCTGATGACTGGCTCTGGAAGCACATTCATCTCAAATGCTAGAAGGTCTTGCGAAGAAAGTTTCTCGGGTATGACAAGTGATTGATTCACTGGCTCTCCATCTACAGCCTGTTGGTTGATTACAACCACTGTCCCGTGAAAGGTTCCTTGCCCTGTGGGTGTGTCTTCCAAGAGACCAATGTTGGCAATGGCAAACCAGATGTTCACACCCTTCTTGACAAAATCAGGAAGACAAAACCCCCCAGCATCCTTCATTCGTTGAAGAACTGACTGCTCAACTCTCTTTTCTAGATCAAGTATCTTGTGATAGTCACTTCCAATGTAGACTTCCGAAAGGTTTTGAACAAGGTTCTTGTCACGAACTCGAGAGTTTTCCCCAATTTCCTCATAATATTCCAGAATTACAACGCACATGGCTTATAAAGATCATGGCCTTCTAATTGTTTTATAAGGTCATTGGTGCGTGCGAAAGTGTACAAATCAGTAATAATAAATTTTTATATCACCAAAATCGTCTGCTTTTCAACTTTGCTGCTCCCCATTGGTAATTCTTTTTATTTAATACACACTCTTACAGAGCACACCATCCACACAAAACCCAAGAGAGGGATACTGCTCCTTTGTTAATGACCGAAAATGCTTGAGCACATCACAAATTTTAAAATCTAGATTTGCCATTGGCTATATGTTTAGGCTTACCTTGGAAAATCAGGCAATATACTGCAAAATAGAGGTCTTTATTCTGTCAAACTTGCGAAGACCAAGGAACAAAATAACTTTTACCACAGAAGAGCTGGAAACAATGATCACAGAGCAGCATAATTATGTAGGAATGTGTGCGCGCTGTGTGCGCGCGAGCGCACTTGCCTGTGAATGTTTGGGTGTGTGTGAGTATGTGCGTGTGGGAGGAAGGGTGAGTGTGTGTGCATGAACGTGCGTGTGTGTGGGTGTGTGTGCGTGTGTGTGTGGGGAGGTTGATGTGAATACATGAAGGTTGTCTGTATGTTTGTTTCTGTCTCTTTGTGTTTGGAAATGGGCTAGTAAATATATATGATAATGGTAATAAAAGTACTACACCTTAAAGCAGCTGGCCGAACAATGACAAAGGTACGCAATTTGGGCTGACGGGGGTGGGGTAGGGATGGGGATGGGTTGGTTAGAGGGTTTATCCAACTAAAAGTCTTCAAATTACCTTTCTCGCTGTTGAGGGATAATCACAGTTCTAGAAAACAACTCAAGTTTTGTGAAACCAGTCATTAGATGAATGACACACCCAATTTTAGCGGGTCTCATGATAGGAAACTACCCCCCCCCCCCCCCCCCCCCCAGAGAGGGGTTGAGGGTCGGGAAAATTTGAACCCCATCAATTTCTGATAGCTTGGACCCCAATCAATCCAAAAATGCCAACAAAAAGAAAATCAATTTTGGCACAAAAGTCCTACGGGAGCTGTTTCAGCGACATACCGTACCACACTATATCTTTGCTTCCTCCTTCGTCAAATCACACGTTTCAAGGCCATACACACTATGAATATGACTGACAAAGAAAGCGGACAAAATATACAGTTCCTCAGGTAGATAAAGGAACATCCCTTCACTGCTATTATGTAAAAAGGTGTACAACAGGTGAATATGCATGTGACCCCTGTTCTACACATGTTTACATGATAGCAGGGAAGGGATGTTCCTTTGTCTACCGGAGGAACTGTATATTTTGTCCGCTTTCTTTGTCCTTCATATTCATAGTGACAGTTGCACTGGTCGTTTAACTGCCTTGTACAACTTGAGATGGTGGAATTAACATAAAGTTAACATTTTGGAGAAAAAAAGAGATAGCCCACTACTACATGTCTGTAAATTTAGAAAAGGCAAAATTTGAATGATTTGTTTGTCCCTTTTGCCTTAAGTCCGTTTTAATAGAGTCATTTGTGTATGAACAAGCACACCCCCTTATCACTATAAATATGACAAAGAAAGAGGACAAAATATACAGTTCCTCAGGAGACAAAGGAACATCCCTTTTAATACTGCTATTATGTAAAAATGTGTAGAACAGGTGAATATGCATGTGACCCCTGTTCTACACATGTTTACATGATAGCAGGGAAGGGATGTTCCTTTGTCTACCAGAGGAACTGTATATTTTGTCCGCTTTCTCTGTCCGTCATATTCATAGTGTATGTTCCATAGAAATTATCGTAATTAAGAAACCTATTTAGTAAATTCTTATAATTTTCTTTGTTCCTTTTATCTATAGATGGTGGGTTTCTACCAAAGTCATATGCACTCCTGCTACTTGTATCTAGGCAGTATATTAGTTGACGAGTATGGCCGAGAACCTTCCTGTGTTCCAGGATTGATTGACATGCTCCAGGTGAGACTTTGTTATTAGTTGCATCGTTATAAATCAATGAATACAAAAATGAAAAATAAATTGGTATGTCTGGGGAGTGTTTCACAAAGACTAAGATCGACTTAAAGTTGGACTTAACTATGGCAGGCAGTTCATGCCACTAGTTTCTATCACCATTTCTATCTCATTTATGATCTTCATGTAACATTTTTTCCTTCAATAATAAATTATCAAAAAATGTAGATTTGTGATCATGATTTGTACGTCCCTTGAGAGACCAATGCCAGTAAATGGTGATAGCAAACAGTGGCATGAACGGCCTGCCATAGTTAAGTCCAAATTAAAGTCAATCTCACTCTTCACCCCCTGGGCTCTTCTGTTGTATGGAGCAGAAACATGCTCATTGAAGGTACTATGTCCCGTTTGCAGGCCAAAAAAATGAAAAGGTTAAATTCCAACGGCATCTGAAAGAAACTAATTTAGAACTTTCCTAAAAAAAGTGGGGCTTGAAAAAGTCTTCAAGTGGGAAAATAACGACTATTAGTTGTCAAATCGACTTAGGAGCTATAGAGCCATTAAGTAATAGTCTCGATTTTCAGACCATTGTACCAAATGGTCATCCGTCTTATGCTGCGCAAAGATTCAATTCAGTTTAATTTTGGCCATCACAAGAAGTGGGTTATTGATGTAGACAAATGCTCATGTACCCTTCACAGCTCATTTTATGTATGTTATTACCAGAGAAAAAAAAAAACCAGTCAGTCACTCAATAGTGTCTGACAGTGAAGTCTAGAAAGTAAACTGATTTCCTTGCATAATTTGAATATTTGGACACTGCTAACATTCAAATTTCATAGATAGGACATACATGACATATTCATAATTCCTGCAAAGTTCTACATAATTTGAGGTTAGCTGCAAAAGGGACATAGTACATTTAAGACATGGAGTGGAATGTTGCTACAAGAGTTTACTAGGGTGGCAGAAAACAGAGATCTGTAAAAAGAATGTTGCCTCCAAATAATTCATATCACCAGTTGATAATTTCCTTGTTTTTATACAAATCTAGGCCTTTATGGGTCCAACCTATACAATCCTCCAAGAACCAAACGGACTAAGGAGCCATCCCGACACAGTAGACGACTTCTTCAGGTTATGCACGAGGTAAGATCAAAAAAATATTATTAGAGATATTAACTATCATAACAGCTTAGTAGTAATTAGTAGTAGCACCAGTACTTCTAGTAATAACAGTGGTAATAGTTGTAGTTGTAGTAATGGTAGTTGTAGTGGTAGTAGTAGTAGTAGTGATGGTCTTTGTAGTAGTGGTAGTGATAGTAGAAGTGGTGGTAGTTGAAGTAGTGGTAGCAGTAGCAATAGCAATAGTAATAATAATTATAATAGTAATGATAATATGTATTGCCTATTTTTGTATTGTAGTCCCACTCATAACCATTTCTGGTGGGTCTTCTTTAATACATTGTCCCACTCATACACTTCCACGCAGGTTACTTCAAAGATGCCCCCTAGGAATCCTCCAGTCTCCCGCTATGCAATCAATTCTACCCTGTGCCATTGCAGCCATCACTCTGGATCACAGAGAGGCCAACGCGTCTGTCATGAAGTTCTTCACGGAGGTCATCCAATGTGCAACAGCAAAATGGGTAAGATTGTAATGTCCTCAATAAACCAATTCCTGAAGATGATGTTCCAATAATAATGAAAATGATAATAATATTTGGTTTTTAGCCAACGCTTCTGTCATGAAATTCTTCACAGAGGTCATCCAGTGTGCAATGGCAACATGGGTAAGATTGTACAGGCCTGATAAAAACCCGATTTAAATCGGTCTCCGGATTTTTTTGATTTTTCCCGATTTTTTCCCGATTTTTTTTCTTCTTCCAGATTTATTAAAAGAAAAAAAAAAAAAAAAAAAATCAGATTTTTTTTTTTTTTTTTAACCCATTTTTTTACTTCTTCCATATTTTATCCATATTTTCCATATTTTCCTGATTTCCCTCTTATTTTCTCTATTCATCCTTATTTTGCCCTATTTCCCAATTTTCTTACTCGAAAGGGGGGAATGTTGTTAGATGCCATTTTTTCTCGCGAATCGTCTTTTCTTTTTTTTTTTTACTCAAGTGGGAGCGTGGTTGAGGGGGAAAACAAAATATATTATTAGTGCTCACTATTACCCCTGGTAAGATCGTAATGTCCCCAATAATCAATTCCTGAAGATGATGTTCTAATGATAATAATAATAAAGATAATATTTGGTTCTTGGCCAACGAGTCTGTCATGAAATTCTTCACAGAGGTCATTCAGTGTGCAATGGCAAAATGGGTAAGATTGTAATGTCCCCAATAAACCAATTCCTGCATGTGATGTTCCAATAATAATGAAAATGATAATAATATTTGCTTTTTAGCCAACGCTTCTGTCATGAAATTCTTCACAGAGGTCATCCAGTGTGCAATGGCAAAAAGGGTAAGATTGTAATGTCCTCAATAAACCAATTCCTGAAGGTTATGTTCTAATAATAATAATAATAATATTTGGTTCTTGTATAGCGCATATCACATTATGACGTCTCTATGCACTTCCAAAGAGCTTTCAAAATTATTACACCTGCTTTGGCATGGCTGCCATTACGGCGCTCTGGCATTTCTGCCCGGTACCCATTTACCACACCTGGGTCGAGTGTGGCAAATCTAGATTAATGTCTTACCAAAGGACATTAGTGCCGTGGGGGGACTCGAACCACGGACCGTTTGATGCACAGTCCGGTGACACATCCACTCGACCACGACACCTCTACTTCTAGTTCTAAAACAATAATGTGTACTCTTGAAAGCTGACAAATTTTATCCCAGTGCCCCGAGTTGGGAATCCTTCAATCAATCGCAAGTTTGCAGACTCCTATCGCTGAAGTACATAGTTCCAATCGATATCAGTCGCACTTAAGTTTAACATGGGCTTCATGTATAACTATGGTGTCTGTTCCTGTATATTATTTTCTAATGCACTAGTCCAGACAAAACGGTTTAGATGGGAATGAAGAACATCAATGTTGCCAATTAAAAGTTAATCTCATTTATTTTAGCCTTAACAAAATTCTTTTCCTTCATGGAATGACATTGAAGCTTGGATCCAATCTTTAAAATCCTACAACAATCCAAGCCATACCCAATATTTTCAACATAATGTGCCTGAATTTTTTTTTTAAATAGTAGTAGTGGTTATTTTTAAATACCTGACTGCTAAGAAGCATAAATGCTTGTTAGTAAGCAACCAGAGGACCTAAGGCTTTAAGTCCTCTAAGAGGAACTTGGTAATGAGGATTATAAGGTTCATATTTATTGTCCATTTAACAATGGAAATTCATTGTGTTACATGGTATTGTGATTCACATATATTTAACATAATACACTCATACAAAAATCAATAAAATAATTTTTGAGTCGACAGTAAACAAAAATAAACAATTAACAATCAAAACAAAGATATAGTCATTAATGCCTTATCAAGGGCACTAGCGCATAGACTTGGTTTTTAATCCGGATTACGAGACCATAATTTTCTGATCTTACTTTTTCTCCCCACTCTAGGAGGCTGAAGACTTTAAGAGAAGGTAAGCTGCTGTGAACGGCATCTTTCAGGAGTATGGTGTCCCCAATTAACCAATTCCTGAAGTTGATGTTCCAAAAGATAATAATGTGTACTCTTGAAAGCTGACTAAGTTTATCCCAGTGCTCCAAGTTGCGATTTATCTAAATCTATCATTTTCTCCCTAACCTAGGAGGCTGAAGACTTTGAGAGTAGGAAAGCTGCTGTAAACGGCATCTTTCAGGAGTATGGTGGATTTGACATTAAATCTTACATTCCATCTTAAAAATTCAACAGCAATCCCAGCCATACCCAATATTTTAAACAGAATGTGTCTGAAATTTTGTTAAAACTGATCTTGCTTTTTCTCCCCACTCTAGGAGGCTGAAGACTTCGAGAGAAGGAAAGCTGCTGTGAACAGCATCTTTCAGGAATACGGTGAGCCGCTCACCAAGGCCATGATAGAAGCCTGTTCCTTCTACCTACCAGCCTACCGTATGCCAGACCACGGAGAAGTCATCTTCCACCTGCTGCAGTATGATAGAGAGGTGAGTGTGACCGTTGTGACGGTGTCGCGAAATCGGTTCGTAGTCCGACTCTTGCGACTTTTGTCATGTGCAGGGGAAGAAAAAAATTAACAAAATTTTGGGACCTACTTTCCCAGCATTCCTGCCTGAAAATAACACTCTTTAATTTGTTTTGCATTGAACTCTATGCAAATTTTGGGGGCTCTTTTATAATTTTCGGGGGCTCTTCTCGGCATTTCAGGGGCTGATTTGCCCCGAGCCCCTGTTAATTTTTTCCCCTGGAGGTGAGTGTGGCACGATTGGATCGTCGTCGTCTGACTCTCACGACTTTTGTCATACGCATGTGTGTTCGAGTCCTGGTTGAGCAGACAAAAATGCAAAAAAGGATTCTCGCTGCGCTGTGTTTAAAGCCCCTCTGCACTAGTTTGGCCAGGAGGGATTAGACCTCCCTACAAGGTCACTGACAGGTGGTTATCTCATCAAATCAGCTCTCAATTAACATAAGAAAAAGAGGATCATGGGTGACCAATGGTCACCGATTAGGCATTGTTTGCTATATTGAGGGCACAAGTAGCTATCAGTAGTGCAGTGGGGCTTTAAGTGCTGCGGTGAGACTTGAAGCGCTAACCATGTTTTTGACAGTCCAGTAGACCACCACAACCACGTCTTGAAGTATGCTTAAAACTGAGGAAGATTACAAACTAATTGGAAGAGAAAAAAAGGGAAATGTTTTAATAGCTTGGAATCTTCAGAGTACATGCATATACATGTAATCTGCACATAATCTATAAGTGGGTGAAATTTGACAGGAGATGTACAGATAGCAATTAAATTATTCATACCCTTACCAAGTTCTGTAATCTTTAAAAAATAAAAAAAAATAAAAAATATACAAGGCGTATTAAAGGTAATACAAAGTTTAGGTAATATTTCAACAGAATTGGATTATGAAATCTAAAATTTGCATTACCATTGTGAAACTAATGGGGCATTGCAAATTGCAAAATTTGCAACTGATGGTTGCAATCGATTGTAACTTTCTTGCAATGCCCCACTAGTCTCCTAAATTTCCTAGGATTTTGTTAGGATTAAAGTTTTAACAATCAATTAAAGGTAATACAAAGTATTGGGAATTTTTGAAAATTGGGTGCATAGTGATTCTCTACAATTTTGATATATTTGGATGCCCCTGTGGATGTATTATAAGCACTAGAAAATTTAGCCTCTAAAACACTTCTGGTTTCGAGAAATTCAAATAGCGCCTACGGCCTTACAAAGGTAGCTGCAACCATGAAAATCTCAGAATATGTAGTTGTGATATATAGTTCCCAAAGGGGAATAGCAAATCGGTCAATTTTAGTCAAGAAACATTGTTTTATAGCTTAATAAATATTTGACCTTGAGAGGGAGCTATACAACGTAAAGAGTTTTATTATTTACAATTTCATAATTTTAGTCTCGATTTCAACCGCGACAACAATCACTAAATATTGTAGGATTGCATATGCTTCCAAAATGTTCATTTGAACCAAATTCATGACTCCATACTGAAACTTTGTATTACCTTTAAGTTAACTAGATCAAGCTTTTATTCCCCCTCCCTCTCTCTCTTACTTATAAATGGGGTGTCGCAAGAAAGTTGGGTTGTGACCAATTGCAAATTTGCATTTAATCGCAAGACTTATGCTTGATTTTGGGGGTTTGCAATTGATTGCAACTTTCTTGCAACGCCCCACTTGTGTTTGAATAACCAACTTTGAAAAAATTGCTCTCTAAAACGCTAAATCTCGGAATATGCAGTTCTGATATATAATTTTCAAACAGGATTAGAAAATCTGTTGATTTTAGTCAAGAAACATTGTTTTGAAGCTAAAGTAATATCAATCTTGAGAGGGAGCTATACAAGATAAAGAGTTTATTATTCACAATTTCATCACTTTAGACTCGATTGCAAACATTTGTCAGGCTCTAAGCCAGTCATTGTATTGGGATTCATTCAACCATTTTGTAATGTGTATTATCTTTATGGTCCATGCACAGAGTCTATCAAAATGGCTCGAGGCAGCTTTACAGGGACTCCCAACTGAGACGGCAGGGCGTGTTACAGCTACACCTAAACAGCTCAGTGACTTCCACAAAGAACTTTGCAGGTGAGTAGTCCGTTTCACCTATTCTGTGACAACACCGCTCATGATTTAACTTCCAAGAATTCTTTTAATTTGTTTATAGCTACAGTACACAGAAATATCTTCATAATGAAATTGATTTAGTCCATACACATCCTTCAAGACTCGTAAGGAAAGGAAAGGGTTAAAATTGATCTTTATTTTATTCATCATAATAACATATAAAATACAAAACATAGTGTACAAGTTAAAGAAAAAATCTACAAAAAAATACAACAACAAAAATGTCATTAGAATGTGGAGACAGTAAATAAGGCCAAAGGCTTTTATTTGTGCTGCCACCTAAACAAAAATACTGTACAATATTGTTGTTTAAAAGGTGATTACATAAAACTAATACCTAAAAAGAGGGGGAAAAAAACTAAAACAAAAGAAAAGCTGTGTACAAATTCAATCTTTATTTATATTGTTGCGTCATGAATATTGTTCTAGATGGCCAAGCCGGTGTGTGAGGTTATTGACCTTCGTCGAGTTGGCAGAGACGGTTTTCTCAACATCATTTGAGTTTTTGCAATTTTCTGTCGATGGCCACTTCCAGATCATGTAGATACGAGAGCTTTTGATCTAACATATCATGCATATTGTTCTTGAGCTTTTGCATGTCACTACTTAGTTTAACTTGTTCGCGTTCCATCGCCTTGGTGACGGCCTCTTGCACAATCAAGTCGAGACGATCAAGAAAACCGGGATTTGTACTTGCTTGCTCAGTGGAGCAGAAGAGGGAGGGGTGCGTAGTTCGACCCTTGGTCATATGTTTAGCTTCTTTGAGTTTGAGCTTTCAACAGTGTTATGTAACAGAAAATGGGGACTTTTTAAGCAATGAAGATCGTTAGAATGTGTAAGCATATCTAAGCTTCCAGAATCTGTAAATGCAGTTAAAATTATACTCACAGATTAAATAAAATCTTTGACTGCAATTTAAATTTCATTTTGACATAAAATGACGAGCATCAAACTAAACAATACACAATCAAGGTATTTCATATTAACACATGGCATAATCAAAGCATATCTCCCACAGAAGAACACATCAAACACTCCTTGAAGGGGTTCATCTGATTTGTAGTAATTCCACAATAAAAAAGGTTGTTTTACCTGTGAGACTTTCGCCTTCTCTCGTACTGTCGTACATGTACTACCCTATCTAGTGGCGATAAAACGTCGGTCTGATGATGCCTGCAGCAGAGATGCCAACTGTTCCGTTTTTGCCGTATTTGTTCCGTTTTTCCCTTTGAATACGGCAGTACGTTTTTTGTATGTTTTGTTACGTTTTTAAATTTTTTTTTTTCTTCTTTAGTGATGTGTTTTTTTTTTTTTTAGTGATGTTTTTCTTAATTTCTGATCATGGGCTTTGTGTCGTAAGTGTATTATGCACCTACATCTTAAAACGATGCACACAGGATGGTGATACGCGCCCCAAACTGCGCACATTGCGAACAACCCACATGTAATGTATGCACGTCGCGCTCCGATCCGTGTACGTATACATGGTACTGCCTGGTTTTTTAAGCTCCTCGATTGGGCGATATGTTAAGTTGAGAGATTTTTTCAAAAATACTGTTTTTTGTCCAAAAATACTGTTTTTTGCTCTTGAGAATACTTTTTTTTGTTGAAGAAGGTTGGCATCTCTGCTGCAGCAACGAGTAGGCGAATGTCTCACAGGTAAAACAGCCTGTTTTATTGTGAAACTATGAAAATTCAATTCATGGAACACATCAAACAGTTTCTTTGGAGACAGAAGGACATTAACTCATATACAGTCAAACCTGCTTGAGTGACCACCTGTCTACAAAGACCACATTTTGTGTTTCCCTTGAAAATGGTTTCTCATTGAAACCTGTACTAAAGGAACATGCACTAAACAAACCTGCACTTGATACAGACCACCTGCCTATAAAGACCACTTTTCTTGTTTCCCTTGGGTAGTCTTTATAGACAGGTTTCACTATACTTTAATAACATAGAGTAAACCCCGTATGCCTCTGAAGAGACTACATATCATGTATTAAACAGGTACAAAAAGGAATGTCCAAACTATTTTTGTCCTATTTGTTACTGTCTACAGCTAAGAATTTGTTGTATCTGCTAATTGTACTATTTGAAGTCCATAGCCCAACTCGTGCTTGAATTGGACAAGATAAGAAGTAAAAGATACTTTGCGATGGCTCAGTGGTAGAGCAGTGGTCTTGTAACCGGGAGGTCCTGGGTTCAAATCCAAGTCGATGCTCTAGTGCCATCTGTAAAGGCCTTCATCCTTATTACCAAGTCCATGGGAGAGGACTTAAAGCTGTCAGTACCCTGTTTGCTTACTCACAAGCATACATATGCTTTCTTAGCAGTCAGGTCAAACAAACCACCCAACAAATTCATGGTCATCTTTCTAGGGCGCCTGGTAAAGAATGGGACAGCTATTGACCAAATATGTTGGGTAAAGGATTCATATAATTAAAACACTATGATACATTGAATTAAATTCATTTTCAAATTACATTTCAGTGATACAACATACACAAAATATCACAGATTAAATACAGTACATATCACAAAAAAGTTTACCCAACTTTGGTAGCTTCTACCAAATTGAAAAGGTATAACCTATTTTATTGTAAAGAATTATTAAAACCTTGTCTAATGAAACCATTTTCATAATTGTGCTACCAAGGATGACTGAACAGCAGGCTTTTCAAAAAAAAATTGCTCCCTTTTGTACATTGACTATTCGTTATTAGGCAGTTAAAAAAAAAAGTGTTAACTCGAACTCAAAGAATTGCTTATTACAAGCAAACTTTTATTTTTTATTGATACACCCTGTATAATAATATCAGAAATGTTGACATCAAAAGACTCCTTACCCTTCCATCCATTTGTGTGATTAGTCTGACACAAATCTGCGTGCAACCTATTAAAAAATGCTTCTGAAAAGGTGATGAAAAACAACAAATAATCCTTTCATACATGAAGCCATAAACATGAAGCCCTTTTATCCTATTCCATTAACCATGTCTGTAGGGTTTCGTTTATATAACAGGGTATTATTTGAATTGTAAGCAATAGTGCCTCGCAGGCATTCACAGAGATAATGAGCGAGTTGATTAGGGGACTATTGGTTACGTCATGTCCATTTTATCTACCAGCACCGTGATTAATTGCCGTTTGATGCTCTTGGCCATGAAAAAACAAACAAAAAACAAAACAATAAAATATCTTAGAAAATCTGTGATGGACTATTATGACCTTTTTGTGTAATATAATGTAGACAGTACTAATGTTTGGGGGTCCAACATTTGCTGTGTCATTATTTGACTTCATCTTATCTTGAAATATGAACTTGCGGAGACCAAAACACACTTTGACTCACTTAGTCTTCAAATATAAGGTGAATATTAGATTAAACATTATAGGTATTGATGTTGTTGTTTTAGTTTATAGACGTTTGTCATTCAGAAATGAATATTTAATGCCTCTTCTCTTAAGATTTGTTCTCCTTTAAAATTAGATTTACCTTTTTTAATATATAGATTTGGATAATTTGGATTTTTAAAAGTTAAACTGTTTATGTTGAAGAATTCAGTGGCTGGCGAGCAAAACGCCTATCGGCTACATTGGACGTCCAAGGACCAGCTCGGACACGGTACGTTGTGACAAGCTTCTCAACTCAGCCTAATGCTGAGCCTAGGCCCTCCGATCCCCACCAATACGTCTAGTCGTCTCCACCACGTTTCTTCAAAATTTTGTCAGAAAATCAATAGAAAACAGATCATATACATGAAGTTTCTAAACATTAATGTAGGCAGTTCTCTCTTCTAAGTTTTTTTTCCTTTTTTTTTCTTCATTTATCACTCTCTATAAAAAGGCGAAACAGAATATAAAGGAAAGTCCTAGTCTCTTTGAAGTAAACTAGACATGGGGCTGCCCATCACATGGTAGCCTGCAGTTATAGACTCTTATTTTGACACCTGAAAACAATACGCTGAAGCTCATTAGTTAATCAGTTTCCTTATTTATTACATAATATTTTACGTGATTTATTACGTAATTTATAATCTCTTCCTCTAGATTGCCACACTTTTGCCTCGGTATCATCGTTTCTCGTCTCTTTTCAGTCTCGTCTCGCAATGTTTTCCCTCTCTCTCTCTCTCTCTCTATATCTCTCCTTCATAAAGTTGTACAGTCAAACCTGCTTTAGTGACCACCTGTCTACAGAGACCACGTTTTTTGTTTCCCTTGAAAATGGTTTCTCATTGAAACATGTACTAAAAGAACCTGTCCACAAAGACCACCTGTCTACAAAGACCACTTTTTGTGTTTCCCTTAGGTGGTCGCTATAAACATTTGACTGTATTACTACAATGTTTACATTTGTACAACATTTTGTCTTTTGTCATTTTTTCTTGTAAAATCCATGTAATTCCTTTGTGGAATTCTTTGAATAAATACCAATACTAAAAGTCTTTAGCTGAGCCCAACTCTGTCAGTCTCTTGGTCTGTCAGCAGCAGCTATCGTACAGAGCCTATGGGGTGCAGAAGACTGTGCAGTCTGTGTAGTCTCCGAGCTCAGACACTGCGGTACGCACTGACTACGGAGGACAAGAGTTTGTGCATGCAAACTCCTACAACTCTCAAGTATAGGTGAACAAACTCGCAGACCCAACCCTCTTTAATAAGTCTTAAGACATGAAACAGGTTTTGTGATGGAGGAGACTGACCGATAGTTCAAATTAAAGGGATCCGGTACCTTTGTCTCAGATTCTGACACAAAATCCTGGATTTAGCTCATGCTGCAAGGATAATTATAAACCTCTAGGTGAGTCAGGAACCCCATGACTTTTACAAGCCGATCGCCTGTCTGATTATCAAGATATTTATGATTGGAATTACAAATTTTAAAAACCGTTTGCCAAAGGGTTTTCATTACACTACAGTCTATTGGGGAAAACGAGTTTTGTCCTCCGGAGTCAGTGCGTACTGCAGTGTCTGAGCTCTGAGACTACACAGACTGCAGTCTTCTGCACCCCCATAGGCTCTGTACCATAGCTGCTGCTGACAGAGCCAGAGACCAACAGAGTTGGGCTCAGCTAAAGACTTTTAGTATTGGTAAAACCAGTCACTCAAAGATTTTTACTTTTTGGAGGCACTTCTTGATCATTTTGAAGCACATTTTTTTAGGGCTTCAATAATACACCATACCACAGACTCTGATAACACGTATGGCCGTGCATCTCAGATTTAACATTGTTAAACGATGCCTTTAAGATGCCATAACAGACTAGCACTGGCATAAAGAAAATTGTTTGAAGTATTAGAGTACATGAAGCTGGATGAGTGGGTGAGGCGTCCGCTTGCTCACGGCAACGATTGTCTACATTTATGTTCTGAAAAGAAAAACACATGTTTTATGATGGGGGAGGCTTACCGATAGTTCATATAAGGAGGCCATAATTGACTATTTAGCAGAGACATTAAGAAAATTGTTTGAAATAAGTAGGTTTTTATTTACAAGGCACCTGCAATGAACGGATTAATGTGTCATTAGCTGACGAGTCATAGATCATCTCTTGTCATTGTCGAGACAAGTCAGCAAAAGTAATATCACTTCCAAGAAAAAAGGCTGTAAAAACACACAATACAGAAGAAAAAAAGACAAATGAAATCACAGACCATATATTTTTAAAAACCTGTACAGCTGATGTGCTTATGGCTCTGTCTGGATTTTATTTGGCTGAGTATTTGTTGAGATTCCTCAAACTTGTCTTATATACAGTGCGTTCCGGAAAAAACAAAACCGAGAATTATTGATGTGTTATCATAACTTAATCACATTTATAATTAATAAATGACACATATTTGGAAATCTTAGATCGACCTCTCTCATTTGATACAACTCATATAATGCATATTGTCACGCACGAGTCTACGGCCGATTGTCAGCGAAACGGAGTTAAGTCTTTTGTTAATTCCGTTTGTTGCTAAGGCAGGCAGCCAGTGAAAACGAACTCGTTTGATAAAATTATGGAAATGCAAGCACTACTTTAATCATACAGAACTTTGGTATTCCTAGCTCATTTTTCGTGATTGAGGTGTCATATGAAAGGGCAGATACTCAACTTTCTAGAAATGTGATTTTCTCTCTAAAATTCGGATACCGTCCGCCAAATGACTTTTTGGTTTCCTCTCTTCAAATTCATTTTAATCACTCATGCTTGAAAATATGCATTATATGAGTTGCATCAAATGAAAGAGGAGGATCTAAGCTTTCCAAATGTGTCATTCATTAATAATAATTGTAATTAAGTTATGATAAAACAACAAAATTCTCGGTTTCGTTTTTTTCTGGGACGCACTGTATATTGTATTTATGTTAAATTATTATTATTATTTTTTTAAATTTATTTATTTTATTTTATTTTATTTTTTATTTTTTATTTATTATTTTGTTAAATATTTTTTCAATTATTATTATTATTTTTTTTTTTTTTTTGGGGGGGGGGGGGGGGGTTCTAGGAATGTTGTTATAATAATGATAATAATACTTATACTAATAATAGTGGAGTCTTGTATAGTTATCTTGTCTAGGACATTGCCACTCCTGGCCCTCCATCATTATTACCCCAGCTTTAGCACGGCTGCCATTACAGCGCTCGAGCATTTTAAAGAAAATAATTACTGCTGGGTACCAATTTACCTCACCTGGGTTGAGTGTGGCAAATGTAGATTAATGCCTTGCCAAAGGACATAGTGCTGTGACAGGTGTTTGATCCCCATACCTTCTGGTTAACAGTCTGGAGACTTATCCACTGGACTGCAACACCTCTGTGTGTACTATTAGAACTGAAACTTGAATTCCTTTTTAAGAATTAATTATTTTCATGCTCTGTTATCTATAATTTTATTTGAAATTGTATATATTTCTATAACTTATAATATATGAATAAGATTTTGCACCATAATTGTATCATTATTTAAGAATGAATCATGTTGTTCCATTTAGTTATTGTTGTACTACTTTAGTTAAGATTTTGTCAGAATTTTTGTTTGAGGATAATTCAACAGTAGATAATTAATTAAGCTTTTCCAATATACAATGTGATGCGCATAGAGACATATTTTGTATACTGCCCTATAGAAATATAATTCATTATCATTATTATTATTATTAACTAAATCTGAATTATCTGTTCTGTTCTCTCTTTCTTTCTGTTTCTACTTGTATAGTGCCGAGGAAGAGAAGATCGTCTGCTATGCCTTACGAGATTTCACACGCCTCTACAGATAGCCGTCACGTTGTCATTGTAGTGGGACATACAAGGCAATGTTACAATTTTTAACCATTTTTTTTTAAATACAACATATTCTTAAATCTCATTGCAAGTGATACTATGTACCAACCAATAATGTCTTTGAAAAGAACTCTTGAATTATGTTCGAACAGAGACGCTTTTTCTTAATCTTACTGATATCTGCCCATTTATTATTGATCAGTGTTAATGAGTTGTTAAAAGTTGAATCAGTTTTATTTCTATTTTTCTGGACCCCATTGCATGAAACCTACCACTAATGGTATTTATGTCAACTATGTTACCATGGCAACATCTCTCAACAGCCATTCAAATCAAAGCTTCCATGGAAGTTGCCATTAATGGCAAAATTACAATTAATGGTAAGTTTTATACAACAGGTCCGTGGTATTTTAAGTTTTTTTTAAAATAGTGTATACATGTACATGTGTGTGAGGCTTACAAGTTTCAAACTGACTGCAGCATCTATTCGCGACCTTCTCACAAGATTTGTCAAGAATTTGAAACCATTGTTATGTCACGTCAGATTGTTCTACAAGATATACTTTTTTTGTGTGTGGGAAGGCACATCTAAAGTCATCCAGGAGTCTGTTAATCTTACATCCTTTCTTACAAGCACTGCTGATGTACATTAGCTCATATGGACTGCTTTATAAATATGAAGAGAGTTTATCTTGAATATGAAGTCTTTTTATAGAAGTTTTAATGAAATTGTCGAGCAGTTATCAGAGAAAATGTGATTAAACGTTGAATCTTGATGTAGGAATTTTTAACAAAATGTGAATCAAGATGACCACTCAAGGATGGTAGTTTGAAGGCTTTGATTAATAATGATTGCATTAAACGCGGTCACAAGTAAAGGTTATGTACAGGTACTGCCATTGCAAAATAATACCAGAACCTAAAATTTTTCTTAAACGGTTCTTTATGAAGACATTCTAAGTACGGACAATCGTGTACCAAGAAGTTTTGGAATCATCATCTTGGCAGTAAAGGTTATGTAGTGTCATTGCAAAATAATACCAAAAACGAGAATGTTTCTTAAACAGTTCATTATGAAGACATTCTTGGCGGTGTTTTGCTGAAAATCAGAGAAAAGGGAAAGTACTTGCCACAAGTGTGGGTATATGGGAATACATAGTTATGACATCATTGTTTTCCCACTGTTTGAAAGCTATTTTAGTCACGTGTGAAAGACCAGAAAATATCAAGAGCAAAATGTGGCATTGCTTCTGTCATAGCCTTTTACATCGTAATCAAGAGGACAAGAAAGTCAGCATACATTTTTTTTTTACTTTTCAGGCGCTCAAATGATTGTTAATTCTGATTCTTTTTTTCCAGGATGTCATGATGAAGCATATTTTTCTTACAGAATCCAATAATTATGTTTAAAAAGTTTGAAGAAACAATATTTTAGAATAAATTAGTCATGATGAAGCATATGTCTCTTGCAGAATCCAATAATTATGTTTAAAAAGTTTGAAGGAACAATATTTTAGAATCAAATATGGAAAATGTGGAGTTGTTGATTATACAAAGAAGTTAGGAGATGTGTCAAGACTACAATACTAGGCATGCGAACATCAGGAATGTTATATATTTTAGATCCACCTTAGATCCATCCTTTTCCAAAATTTAAATTTCATACAATCTTTATTTTCACAAGGTATAATTTGAATAATTTTGAGAGTTCTTCAATCGTGACTTCACATATGACTGCATTGTCAGTAGAAAATTCCCCAAATCAACTGCGACTCTCATTTGTAAATGACTCTCATGTTTATAGACGATATAAGTCTTTATCTCATTTTTCTCAAATTGTCAGTAATCTGTAACTCCCAGAAAATAATGCTTTGGTGTACTTGGATATTCCAAAATTTCCTGAAGTGCATGGATCAACCAACATTTTACTTTACAGTACCTTTGATTTCTTATTTGCGTCACATTATATGTAATGTATGTGGATTATCGTGCAAAGAGTTCATTTGGATCTTGTCCATCCAGGGTATTGCATGTACGTCTTTTCTCATTACTTAAAGTGCATTATATTACCACTAGAATCTCCATTATAACCCACCTCTTGCTGTAGCTTAAGGTGATGTTGAAAATTGCTGAATTTCTTGTTGAAATATAGTGCGTAGAACTGTTTTTTATGAAATGATGTCATATGAGTCAATTGCGAGGCAGTAGGGCCAACAAAACCATAGAGGATTCGTCTGATGTTGTTGACGAGTATCACTAAGCGCTACACACAGGCACATGTTGGAATACAAGGTCAACTGATTCTGATGCAAGCATGGCCGAGGATCAACTATCGGGTTATATTTGGACTGCAAAGGCATTTCAAGAGAACCACTTTTGTATTATTTGTCCACATGTTTTAATATGAAGATAGATAGGACTTGTTTAAAATATTACTTGTACTGTCATTCTTTATCCAATACCTGACTCCCTTTAAACGTCAGAGCTGGTTCGAGCGGCTACCTCATACAAGAGAGAGTGAGGGAGTGATCATGAGCTTTATTCTTAATGAAGCCGCCTAAAGCTTGTAATGGGTATAAAGAAATGTGACGCCACCTCTCCTATGAGGGTGGTATATATTACAATTTTAATGTAGAGTGTATTATCGTGAGTAAATCTCTTCGATAAGACTTTGAAATTGGCTGTGCTTAAGGATTTTACAAATATTATTTTGTGATTGAGAATTATAACGTGGGTCCATTATTTTATGAGATTGATAACTTTGTTTCATTGGAATTTTATTCTGCATTCTCTCTCTCTCTCTCTCTCTCTTCTTATTCATCCTCTTGTTTCCTCTTCTCTCTTCGTCATTGTTTCCTCTTTCCTCTCTTTTTTTATTTTCTTCCCACATTTGCCCCACGCTCTTCCTCTACTTCATCTTCGGGTTCATGCTATAACATTCTTCAAAACAAGTTTTCCTCATTATCTTCAACTTCATTGCTCATCGAGTCCCGTTCCTCTTTTGCTCTTTGAGAACTGAATCCTCACTTTCATGTTTATCTACGCTTTAGTTCTCTTTATAATGTTTCCTCTACTTTTTCTCTCTCATCACCCCATCTCCCCTCTGGTTTTGCTCTTTTCTGCTTTCCTGCAGAATGTGTCATTCATCTTAAATACATGTACAGGTAATTCCATTATTGTAAAAACAAAAAACGTTTATAGGAGATGCAAATGTACCAGTAAATGGCTTAAAATCCTGATCATGCCGAGTATCAAAATGGTTTGCATGTAAGCACATTTACTTATGCTCTGTGTATGCACACTTCATCCTTTAAAACACATGTACAGTTACTGAGACTTGGATGAATTTGAATAAATTATTGATAACATGTACTTTGTACACAATGTCTTTTGTGTCATACATCATTGTGTACTGTAAAACTTATTTAATTTAATTGCATTTACTTTCTAAATGGCATTATAACGATCACAACAAGTTTCTCAAAGCAATTTAAAAGGAAATATCTATATTCTGTTGTACCCCCCCCCCCCCCAATAGAAATCATGTCCGGATTCGTAAGATGTCATGGTGATGTTTGCATATTATATATCACTGGCCGAGTCCATTGATATTGCCTTTGTCATTTTAAGTCTGCGATCTTTATTTGATGTGTATTTTGTTTGTTATTCTTTTCTTGACTTGCAAGAAATAGGATTTCTTCTTACATTAAGCCTGTCTGCACTAGTTTGGCCAGAAGGGATTAGACCACCCAGCATTGTCACTGACAGGTGGTTATCTCATCAAATCAGCTCTCAATTAACATAAGAAAAAGGGGATCATGGGGAACCAGTGGTCACTGATTAGGCATTGTTTGCTATATAGAGGGCGCAAGTAGCTATAAGTAGTGCAGTGGGGATTTAAAACTACATTAGTGTGCATGTTTCATTAACTTCAATCTATACATTTTGAAAATCATTTACATTTTTCCAGAAAATATACTGTTTACACCAGAATTACCTTAGAGAATTAAACCCCGTCTTAATTGGAAAATAAAGTAGCGGTGACGTCCGGACTCCAAGGTTCTATTAGTAACACACTGTCCTTACCGAGTGAGCCAACGATGAGTTGATGACAGATTGATTTGTATAATTACTATCACCCTATTGACCACCCTACCGGATTCCACGTGCGCATGCGCTGGTTTCCTTCGGGAGTTCGTTTCACGACGTATAGTTAGTAAGCGTCCACACACACAATTTCATCGTATAACTATCGCGAAACAGTATAACTATCCCGAAACGGTATAACTAATCACGGCTAATCACGGAAAATGTTGTGTGTGGACACGGGGTAAGACGGGACTTTCGAGATGATATTGAAAAGCTTAGAACAGGAAGCATATTATCACGACTTCATTCTGTTTATTGATTCATTTTCAGATGCTGTCATTTATCTGAACTTAACAAGTACGACAACTATTTTACGAGGAAACCTGCGCCCAAATCTGCATTTTTACGTCAAAAAAGTGTTTACTTGAGCTTAGTTTCTCCAACGCGGTATTTCGCATTCGTATCTTGCAAACCTTCCCGAGACAAATAATGCAAATTTATCAAAACGGATGCACACAATACAAACACTGGTTTTATAATTTGTTTACAAGGAGTATAAACTATAAAGCATTCAGTTTTAAAATAGCTTCCACGCGGTATTTTGCTGATTAGTACGTATTCATTTCTTGCAAACATTACACCAATAATCACGCGAAGTGATCAAAAAGGATTTGCCCTTGACAAAGCCATAATTGAGAGGTGACTGATTGCTTTTTGATGAACTTGTTGTTTGCAGGTTACCTCTGTCAGAGGTTCATTCTAAAGTAGGTCGCAAGGAGGGGGTGTATTTGGCGAACGCTATAATGACCCTTTTACTCTCTTTTTTTTTCTTCTTCAACCTGTTGGGTTCCAGGTTGCGGTAGCCCGGTACAGACAAGTAGGGCACGACGTGACCCGGGGACGTGACACCTGTCAAAATGTTTGGCAACAATCGAACTTGACCATATCAATGCAATATCTTATTGCATCTTTTACACACGCACCAACACTTACACCCACACACACACACACACACCTGTAATGACGTGACACTGTCTTGTCAAAATGTTTGACAACAATCGAGCTTGACTTTATCAATGCATTTATCTTATTGCATTCTTTCACACACGCACCAACACTTACACCCACACACACAAACACACACCAGCAATGGCGTCACACTTGTCAAAATATTGACAACAGTCGAACTTGACTTCATCAATGCATTTATCTTATTGCATTTATTCACATGCACACGCACCAACACTTACAACCACAAACAAACACACACCAACACACACACACGCACTAACTCACCCACATACATCATTAGCGCATATCAATTTTCTTTTTGGTCCTGCCAATCTTCCAAGGTTTTATAAAGAAAGAAAAAAAGCAAACCGTAAACAATCTACCATTAAACTACCTAACAAACGTTCTGCTAGACACATTATGTACCCAAAAGGAGTGACCCAAAAGGCTATCAAAAAAAATATAAATATATCTGAATGTCTAAACATTAAAGACTATATTTCACCTGATTTAAACCAGTTTACCGTCTATACAATATAAAACGATATTGTAAAATAATAGTAACATTATTTTGTTTAAAAACTTCCACATTTAGTACGAGGATTGCAATGTGGATTGCATAAGATTCGATTCATTTTAATTTAATATATTAATGAGTTATTTAGCTCTGAATATTTTATAATATTCTTTTTTATTTCTATTTATATTCGCATGCTTTTAGTTTTATGTCTATATATTTTTAGTTAAATCCTGCTTCAAACGCTCCGATTCGAGAGCGGCAGGTTAGAATCCAAGCTGGGCAAAGTATCCGGAATGTCACACTTCCAAACTTGCGATAGGCGTGGCTTAAATTACCAGGCATCATATTAAATTAGTTTTGACGATATATTAATACTATAAGGATAACCGTTGTGATTGTATATTAAAGCGGGACTGCACTACTTGTAGCTACTTGCGCTCTCTAGAAAGCAAGCAGTGCCTAAACGGTACCCGTCGGCCCCCCCCCCCCATGATCCCCCTTTTCTTTTGTAAATTGAGAGCTGGTTTGATGAGATAACCACCTGTTAGTGACCATGCAGGGAGGTCAAATCCTCCTGGCCAAACTAGCGCAGCTGGCCTTATTTCACATCAATTCCCCCCTATTTCCCTGTTGAATGTACTCATCATGTTAGTCACCCTAGTAAAGTTGGAATACATTTTTCTCGTATT